GGCAAGGGCGGTTTCACCATCCCCAGCACTAGCTGTTGATGATTGTCTTGAAGAAAGATGATCCTTTATGATCTGTCCTGCCCAAAGATGCACAACTCATGCCTGGATTTAATGAAAAACCTTCCTTATCAGTTGCAGCCCACCTTCAAGTGTGTCCCTGCAGAAAGATGTAAAATCCAACAGGCTATCCTTATCGCATGGCATTAGCTGACGTGATGCTGTCATTTTCGATACGAGTGACTTCTTGCCTCCAACCCCCATGCTGAGATCTTGTGTTCCTTTTTTTCTCTAGGGTCATGTCCTACACAGAGTCCCCACTGTGGCTTTGCTCTTTTGGGTCAAGGGAAACAAGAGATGGCATTTTTTACCTTTTCCTATTAATCATTAAATTTGGAGAAGCAGAAACAAGAGGTCTTTACAGATTTTTGTCTTCAAGCTTGATGTTAAAAAGTCGAGGCGAAACGTGAAGACAGGGCCACTCCAAGGCTTTAGACCTTCTGTACCTTTAAGAGAGGGGTAGCAGGATGGCATCTAACAGGCTCTGTGGCTGTCCCAGATTGTAGCTGTTTTCTTCTGAATAGCGAATACGTGATTCAAAGAGAGCCTGGCAAAAGCTTTCTCATATTTCTACAGTAGCCGCACTGGAATTATTTCATGCATATGTAAGATCAAACATCCATATAGACAGTTGTTTTCTACAACTTTTTGTAAGTTTCAGGAAAACTTATTAAGTACTGTTTCTCTTTCTTTCTTTAAAAAAGACAGAGAGAGAAAGCCTGCATTTTCTGCTATTTCCCGAGAGGCTTTTTATCTGTTTAAACCAACTAGGGATTTTTCACATATTGACATAAGCATTCATTTGCTAATTTGCTGGACATTAAACTGCACAGCATTCTTGAATGAGACGGGAATAGTTGGGTACTTAGTGCTGCTCATTCCCCGCATCATTCCCAGTACACATATGGTTTTCCTCTTCTATCTCCTAGATAAAAGTCACTGTTTGATCGCCTTAAGGAAAAGAATGAGTTAAATGGACCAATATTCTAGCCTTGGCTCTAAAACTGGGCCTTTTCAGAAACTCCTCAGCACCTGCAGCAGCTAGGTCATTTGCACATACATAAATAAATAAATTAACAATGAATAAATAATTTAATCCCACCACACAATGCCACCTTGCAGATCTGATCCTTTGCTCCCAGTGAATTTGTCCATTCCTAATTCTTTTTGATAAAGTCCTCAGATACTTGCTGACTGTCAGTCTAATTTTCTTATTGTTTTCGCTTGATTAGTTCTGTATGACCTAAGGTCGCCCTTAAAATCCACATCTCTCGTGAAGACTCCGAAAGGCCTTCTTTTTTTCAAAGGGATGGAAAGTGCCTGCCATTTCTCCGGACAAAAGCCTGGAAGGTTTTCAGTTATTAGCCTCCTGAAGCAGCCCTTTCGCTCACCCAAGCGCAAAAAAAACTCATTACGGGGCACCTTTCTTTCTGGCTTCTTTATCTGATGCATGTAGGGTTTACATGTTTCAAGATTTTCAGGTCTTGGATGAATTTGGACAGCCTCCCTTTTAACCCTGCTGGACTGTGCTTATGCCCACCGCAGACACTGGCTATATCTCAGTGCACTACACCACCTGGAGATGCTTCATGATTTTAAAAGCTAGTTTACACCCCGCTTCATGATGAACTGCGCACACTTCAGTGTGCCGTACTTTGAAGCTACATTGTCGCAGGGTATGGATGGAAAGGCAGGCAAGGCTGCCAGCTGCTGACAGCCTCCATATTTTGCGCTTTGTGATTAAAATATAAAATCAAAGTTTGTGTCTCAGTCACGCAACCCTTATTACCATCAGAGGGATTTGCAAGACTAAGGCGTGTACAACACTGAAAGCCTGCCGTGGCTGGGCTGGATTATGCCCTGTCCCATTTATTCTTTTTCAGGCACCAAGGTAAACACTGTTCTCATACAGGCTGAATGGCCTTCCTGAGCACGTGGACTAGAGAAACTCCCCAGCAAGGGGACAATATATCATACCTAAGACACCTCTTCAGACACGGTGTATCTAGACACCTTTCCCCTCTGTGCAAAGTTGTTAGCTCCTGCATTCACTTGAGCTGGCACAGGTTATAAATCAGGACAGTATCTATGCTTAAATCAGGACAGCACTGTATTTAACCAGCGCTGTGCAACATACAGCAATGCTTTACCTGGGGTTACCTTTTAAGAAGAAAAACAGCTTGAAATCATACTGGCAGGTATTGCAGTAATGAATGTCTCTTGCTTACGTGGGCTCTGATATATTTGATAAGAGAGGCCTTAGAGGTAATTGTTCACAAAAGACACCTGTGATTGCAAAGCAAGGTAGGATCAAACTGATAATGTTTCTCTTTCAGAAAAAGGCTGCCTGGTGTCTCTGCTGAGACATCTGTATTCAGTCTGGGATTTGAGCCTAAAGAGGACAAAGATGGACAAAATCAGAAGGAAACTAAGGAGGATCAGAAAGAGAACAATGCAGGTGGAAGATTTCCTGGGCAGATATGGAAAAATATGTGACTTGGTCCTGCAATACTACCTCTCTTTTTCCTGAAGAGTGTCTTGTTTTCCACTGCGATAGAAGTGCCTGTCATCCCTCCTGGCTTAGAATTTGCTAGGAAAGCTGAAGGCTGCCCCTGAGGCCTGACTTCTAAGCATCCAGATGACGGTTTTCTGGCCACTGATCTTGGTCCTGGCAGTTTAAGGGCCACAGGACGTTGTCCTTGTCAGGTTCAAAGAACCCAGCATTTTGACCACATCTCTTCCTGACTTGCCAATTCCTGTGAAAACTGTGTGGAACAGACACTTTACCTCCATCTGTTTTTCACAGTGGTGACAAAGTTTGTTGTGGATGAAGAAATACACCTATGCCTACAGAAACCTGTAGTTTTTCCCGGGGATCGGAGTCTTCTGCCAAAGTCTTTCCTAGATACCAAGGTTAGAATCTCTTCCCTGAAATCTGTGGTATTTGTTCATAGAGCGGTAGCCTGCAAAATGAGAGCAGAAGGTATGCCTCATGCTTCTTGTTGTGCCTGTACAGTGCCGTACACATCTTCCGTGCTTTAAGAATAGTACTAAAGGGAGCAGCGCTACCGGCTTCTAACGCTCCTGGGCATGGGAAGGAAGGGTAAATAACCAGAGCTGTGATCTACACTTAATTACTAGTGATCTGTTCAAGTCCTAGCTACTGAATGCCGCTGCGCTCATGAAAACTCTCGTATGGACCTGTGTAGCCTTCAGTAAAGTAAAGCGGTTAGGCTTTACTTTACTGCATAAGGCTGGGTTGGTGTGCAATTCTTTGGAGGGTTAGCGCTACAGACTGCATGACTCTTTCTGCTGGCATAAATTCTCTGAGTGGTATCCCATGCTTAGCTTGACTATACTGAAAAATAGTGCTGAAGCTATGTGAACTACTCTGTAAGTACAAGGTAGTAGTTACATTATGGTATGAAGGATAGAGCTGGATTGGCTCTGCATCATAGGAAGGAAGCATAAGAGCAAAATCCTCAATAGGGATATGCAGTAATAATTTACCTCTGGCTCTAGGAGAAAGCAGAAACAAGAGAGGAATTTTGGACTGCGAGCTGGTAGTAAGGTAGAGCTTGATCTTGCCTTGTGGGCTTTTTGTCAGGAGCAAAACTCCTCTCTGTTTCTAAGTGAATCAGGTGTTTTATAGTTCATTTCTGCTGACCAGATATCTATTAAAATTCATTGCACTCTTCTTTTTACTTAGGTAATCTCACTTTGTGGAAAACTTCAGTACTCCATTCCACAGTGGATCGTGGAGCTTATAATTGGGACCACATAGAAATCATGGCATTGTGATATATCATATCTGTGGAAACAGCTGAGGACACAAGGAGAAAAATCACAAGGAGAAATTGGTATCAGCATGATAATAGGCAAAGTCTTGTTTATAAATTTTTGCATCCGTGTCCTTTCCCCCAAGCTCTACAAGAGTATTAAAATCTTACTGAATAAATACTTCCCAGCCATAGAGGTGGAGATTGGAGATTCAGATGAAATGAACTCCTGGTGCCTTACTCAGGAGACCATGTACCTTCTGTTGAAGCAGTAAGGCGTCTGACCTTGGAAATCCTGCTAAAAATAAGCTAAACCCATGGTGGATTGTGCTGTCCTTGGAGCTCCACTTATCCCGCATTCAGAGGAATGTCTATCTAAGCGAGCATCATTTTAGCAGTCTGATGTCTGTCAGCATAGAACTATGATCCTTAGAAAAATCCCCAGAGTGACTTTGCTAGGAATTTGCTGGGTAAGTAAGTACTCAGTATTTGGCCAGTAATTAGAATTACTTCCCATTTTTCTTCCGAATAATTATTATTATCTATTGTTGTTGCTATTTTTTGTGCCATTACATTTTTGTCTTCTGGTGTATTGATGGAAAGTTTGACATCCAGCCTGAAATAACACGAGGTGAAATCTGCAAGCTATGGGAAACTTTAATTACAAATCAGGACAGCGTACTGGATTTCCTGGAGTCTGTGAGACATTTTGACTACTCTCCTGGCTCTGCATGTTTCCCCAGTGCCACACATTGTCTACGCCAAAAAGGAGATAATAACTTAAGGATGCGTTCTGAAAAGCTCGGCTGTGACTCTGACATCCCAGTCGTCAGGGTGGGAGCAAACATAAGTCCTTTCCGTTCAGAAAAACGACAGTCATGGGACTGTGTTCTGGCATGGTGTGCCTTTCCAAAAACATAAGTAAACAGAAGAATAGTGAATTAAATGCCAAAATAGCACCTGGCTAAAGATAAACTTTTTGTTTTGTTTTGTTTTAAATGCCTGAAACACATGCTATTGCATACGCCAGGGGAAATATCTGACATTAATGCTGCTTAGCAACAAAACAAACTGATGATGAATCTTAAAAAAAAAAAGCCTTTACTTTTCTAAAAAAGGGATTAAGCATTGATTGCAGGGAAGTGGACTGCAATCGGATCTATCCTATGAAGTCTCTGTTTGTGGTGCAATGCTGTTCCTAAGCACGTTCCTGAGAATGCAGCTTTATTCTGCTCACTCACGTTAGCAGCCGGAGCAGGTAAGAATTCATTAATTTTAACTTAACAGAGTAAAAGGTAAACAGTTTTCAAGGTAAGACAGAGATTTAGGTAAGGCGGGAAGTCTTGTGCAGAGGTGTAAATCTGAGAACGCAGGCATTCAACTGCACTGGGCCCGGGGACCAGAGGAGCCTCCCAGCAGTCTGTGAAGCTGGGAAAGGTAGGGAGAAGGCTGGCACTGCCTGGAGGGGAGACCATGTTTCATTCCTTGCACCAGAGCCCAGGCCACCTTGGATGAGGCTGCTGTTGCACAGATGCAAACCTGGGAAAGAATTAACCTAAGAGCTAGCACTGGCTGTTGTTTCTCTGCCCTTTTTTTTAAGGTCCAAGCAAAGGAGCAGCCTGCTTGGGCTGGTGAGCGGGTTTGTCTGTCTTGCACTGAGAGTGGCATGGAGATGGCCTATTCCCACTCTTAGCTAGAGGCACAGCACTGGCCTCGAAGGACTTGTACTTTGCCTCATCTCTAGGTGGACAGGAATGTGTACGGTGCTGTTCAAATAAATCAGCACATAACGTAGGGAGCACCAAAAAACCCCAGACTTCCATCATTCTCACTTTGCACTGTAGGAAGCTATTTCGGGTGTGTGTTTTAGCTTTGATCTCAGGCTCAGGCTGGTGAGGTAGCTGATCATAAGTAAAATGAAAGATAAGGTGGTGACGGCTCTGCACTTAGAAACCTCCTCTGAGTTATAATGGAGAGAGAAAAAAGAGAGGGAGAAGGGGAATGCATGCTTAGCACTTCTTATTTCCATACTGGCAATTCATATATGTAGATCATCAGTGTAAATTCCTCTGAGTTTAAGCTCTGAGCTTCTAGATTCTCTGACTTTTCTAATTCTCATGGAAGGGATGAATTATTACAGATTCTAATCATGAGTGTTTCATGCTAGGAGAAGTTTGATTATAGTGGTCACTTCTGGCATGCATATTAAATCTGTATGTTTGGGTGTAGTTGTGTATTTAAAAATAGTTTTTTTTCCTGAATAAAAGAGTAAAATCACACTTTTAAAATTATGGACAGGGTTTGTCTCACTGATCAAAACCCATTTAAATGCTGGCTACAGTTTGTGGAGTAGCTAAAGGATAGAAAAGTCACTGCGGAAGGCAAGGCAAGGCAAGGCAAGGCAAGGCAAGGGAAAGGAAAGGAAAGGAAAGGAAAGGAGGATGAGTGGAAATGTTCTCTGTTGAAATTAATGGCAAACTTATCCCCTGGTTTCCCTGAGCAAGGCTTACACTTCAGGACTTTGTTAGGAGCTTTCTTCCATCTCATACTGCTGTTTTTCTGCTCAAACTTGTTTTTGAATCTCCATCCACTAAAGAAAGCCTTTTCCGCACAGCCATCTACCTCTCACGAGCTTGCTTTCTCTTCTTTTGTGTGATGCTGTCTTTCCTCCCATGAATTCATTCCTCTTCATCAGCACTGGCTTCACTTGTCTTCTCGTGTACTCTGCCTTCCCCCTGCCTATGACAGTGCTTTATTCTAGGTCTTCCCTATTTTAAAGAAGGACCGTGGACATCCCGGTGAAAAATGACTACAGAATCTAAACAATGTTGTCCATGTTGTCCTCCTGTAGCTTTCTCTTTCTTCCCTTTTATTGTATTGTATCTGAAGCTAGTTCGTGAATTCTTCAGTGTCGAGCTGTCTGTACTGAGTAGGACTGAAATGCGACTTCTTCAAGCAGGATTGCTCCTAAAATGTATGCCTGTGGCACTGAGGTAGATTTTGTAATGAACAGGAGGGAAACACGCTTATGAAAATGGACCTTACCATCTGCATGCCCCCGAATGTGTGTTACAGTGCAGATCAAACAGCTGAGTATTCACTCATCTGTTTTGCCATTTACAGTATTCAATTTTAAATTATTCAAAATGTACGTTATAAAATATTTAAATGGATTATTTGTTTTGTAATAAATAACTATTTATCGAAGAATTTATTACATGTAACAATAAATTGTATGCATATACTTTACAATATTGATTTTCTGATTTTGTATGCAAGTGTTGTTTCAGCTTGGAGTTCCTTAAGGCCCTTGCTTCGTGTTGGCGAAGGGGGAAGAATGGGAGTAACATGGCTACGATTATGCGGACACCTCTGACAGAGCTAGACCAGGTACAACGGGGGAATGTAAGCTTTGGAGCTTGACGGTTTAACGGCCAGACTGGGGAGAAGGGTATGCTGGCTTTCAGTGAATCACTAATGGTTTTGTTTGAAATAGTGCTTGCTGGAGGGAGCTGGTAGAAATTGGTTGTTCCCCACCTGCAATAGTTGATATATCGAATATAAAACATGGCCCTAAAACATATTAACTGGTCTGCCAGTACATGCAACAAGTGCATTAAAAATATCTGTCAGCTGCTAAGCACCCACTGGGATACCCTTAAACACTCATCAGCTGTTTCAGTTCAGTAGCTAGACGTGCCAAGTCTTCTAGTCTGCATAACAGATAGAAAAATTGGGATTTTTTTTTTTTGGTCATGGACAACAAGCCTAGCAGATGAGATGAAAAAAGAAGCTTTTATCTGGCTGAGTCAAGGGAGGCTGAACTACACTCTTGATTTGGCATGCATATGCTTTGCATTTTAGCATGGAGATGTGCAGCCCCGTTGAATACCTGAGCAGCTAAGTTAGATCGCTTGCCGGGCAGCAGAGAGGGTGGGAGTCAGCTGCCCTAATTTTTGCCCTACCCAAATCCCTGAGTCCTGCGCTCTCTCTGGATTCAAAAGGGGGAAGAGGCATGTTCTAAGGCAAATCAGCTCCTTTTACAAGTGTCTAAAATCAGTCTGGCGAATCGCCCTCTGGAGGTGCCTGTTTGTCATTCATGACTAGCAAGGGAGCTTAGGGTGACAAATTCATTCTTTGACCTCTATCTTTTAGGTGTCTAACATCTAGTTTTATGTCAGATGCTTACAAATTTTAAGATGTTCTTCTATTATCAGACCCCTGAAAAGATTTTTCCTTTACAGTGTGATGTTGCTTTATGACAAAATTTCTTTTCAGAAAAACAAATAAAAAATAATTGGACCTCTTGGTCCAATCCCATCCTTGTATTTCAGTCTGGTGAGACCCAGGCAGAACTGAGCACTAGAGACAAAGCTTTCACAAGACTCCTAACACCATATTCACCATCCTAAGTGAATGAATTTTTTTTTGAAGGGTTGACATGCCAAGAGCTGCCATAGATTTTAATGGAATTTTTGACAGCTTGGAAATTTTGAACATGAAACTATTTGCATAGAGGACTTACTGTGAACCTGGGAGTTTAACTTACATTGCCAGTTTTTTCAATCTTTGTTTGAAAGACTATAGAGCATTTTCTAGCATGTGAGAGAAAGGGTGAACTGTGAGTAGGGATGACTCTTGCCAGCATCCTGTCTCTGTGTATGTGGCCCTACAGACTCTACAGCATGCTGCAGCCTAACCTTACACCTTGGCAAGTCCGATGAGCTGATCAAAGGGGTTTTGTACCCTTGCACATGGTTGATATTTTTCTGCAATAACTTAATACCCAGATTTTTGTCTGTTTGCAGTTACAAGGTGACTGGCAGACTCTTCGAGGGGCCTGAGGAAGGCAGCTGCTGACAGCAGGGGTTCCCTCTCCCTGCCACAATTCCCATCCCTCCTGAAGCTCTGTCGCTTGCTGCTAGGTGAGGATGCAGTTTGCCACTTTCTCTCTCTAAATTTGGTCCCAACTTGAAACAGCGAATTGATTGCAAATCTTTTTGGAAGAAGTTCACAAAAAAGCTAGCCATCTGCAACCAAAAATCGCTTTGCAAACGTGCTATAAATTAACCTAGAATATTCCAGTGACGAAGAGGAGAACATCATTTGTGCTGTCCCATTTGCCTGTCCTATTAGCTATGTCGTGTGCTGCTCCTAGCTGTGCACATCACTTGTCTACGTGTTGTTTGCCAGAATACTGTAAGTTGCTTTGTGTAGGGGTAGTAGAAGCTCTTTCTGAGAGAATAAAAGAAAGCTGAATATAACGCAATTGCTGATCTGTATTTAACATGCAACGCACTGCATTACTAAGAAAATGAATTTTCTGAAAAGGAGAGGCAAAGGTGAAGCATAGAGAGATGCCAGTCATTTTTGATTTTGATTGATGAAATATTCAGTTATGTATAGAGTGCCATGTTGCTGCTCGGGTCCTATTCACAGTATAAATGACTTCCTTTGAATTCATGGAGTTGGATTAGATCCTGTATATGCATGTACATGGGGTTTGGCCTTTCGTATAGGTATAGATTTTTGTGCATAGATGTGTTTTCCTTTTTTCTTAAAGGAGTATTTTATCCACTGAGTACAACGGGCAGTACAGCCTATTCTACAGGTGTTCTGTATTTGACTTCACTTTTATGATCAGAGTGTATTTAGGACCAGGTTAGATTACTTACTGTCCGTACATCTGTATGAATATCTGGCTGCATAATTGAATGAACTGAATGAGGATGAGCAGCCACTGAAAGATGTGTCATTTACCTGTTTGTTTAGCTCTCTGCTGATGCATCTCCGCTGTAGGCTCCTCCACGTGCAAGCAGCTACAGCTTCAGGGAGCTCCGGGAAGCTTTGCTCCCTTGCAATAGCTAAGGATCTGGCCCACAATAGCTGCATGTAGGTAACAAGCATGAACGTGTCTTTTGTTTGCTTTAATGTACCAGCTTTCCTGCAAACAGTCATTTGTAACCTACCATAAACAGTGATGCCTTTAAGCAACATTTTGTGGGTTTTGATAGATATTTGCTGTCTAAGAGTTTTGGCATTATACAGAAGAGGATGTACTCCTACTCTTGCTCCTTTTCTGAATACCTTCTCTGCTTCTCCAGATAGCAGGGAGTCAGCAATAAAACTCCAAGAAAAGTTTTTTCTCATTTCTTTTTTTTTAAATAGAGGGAAAGGTAATACGTGATAAAAGTTTGTGGTATAGGAAAAGTATTATTGCATCCTATTGTAAAATGGGGGTTTTACAGCAGAGTATGTGAAACTCAGGATATATTGATTTCCTTAGAACATTCCCATATATAGTTGTGTTATATGTGGTATATGTTGTCACAGATTTTCCTGAGGTTCTTGAAAATTTGTCATCCATGCTTGCTGAATCTCATTGACCCCTGTTATACTTTTCTTACTTTAAAACTGAAGAAAAGTTATGTGGAGTTTATTCTGTAGGTTTTGTTGTTGTTCTTCTTTTTACACATCCTAGTCCTTAAAACGCAGCTGTGGATTTGATAGTAAGGGTGAATTACTTCCATCCTACATCCTTTGATAGCAGAACTCCGTAGGATAACTTTTACCCACAGCTCTAGTGGTATCACCCATTGTAGTAAGGTTGTACAGGTGTTTCAAACGTCTGTCAGTGAGGTTGCCCAAGGATAAATGAAAGACTAGTTGGGTTTGGGAGGAAAAAGAGGAAAAAGATCAGTCCTACAGCTTAGTCACAATAGAGTGACTTTTAAAGGCTAAGCCCTTGAGAATTCATGCCGTAGAACAGCACCGATGTAGCACATGTGGGAAGTTATGATGATCTAGGAAACCCATATTTAAGCAAAGAACCACCCAACTATGCTAGGAAATACTGAGAAAAACAAAACTGCATCCCACTTTGCTATGGAGGCAGGCCTGTACAGTGAGAACACCACTGTGATATGCAAAGTACATATCATATACCTCCCTGTGATGAGAAGGGAGGAGCAAAGACAGTAGTCCCCCCTCCTTCCTGGCATGAAGAAAGGCCTCAAACACTGTGCTTCTCTGGACCTCAGCTTCGTGCCTGCAGCCATAAATCAAATGTCTCTTTCCTAAGGGACATATCTTACGATCAAACCCTTTGCTGATGGTAATCATCTAATGTCTTTTTTCAAAGGACTCGCCAGGACATCCTGTTTCCTTTGAAGACAACAGGAATGGCTCTGTTCAGACAGATTGGTTGTGAACTTGCAGATTAGTTAGAGCACTCTCCCAGGAAGAGGGACACCCAGGTTTTAACCTCAAAGACTACGAACATGAGATTCCAGCTTCCTAGGAAAATATCCAAACCTCAGGCTGGGAACTAAGAGCTGGGAGATGGAGGAACGACCTATTGAATCAGGGTGAAGGTACTTTCTGTGGTAGTCCTGGCCTAAAGGGATTCAGTTGCCCTTCACTCTTCTCTACATACCTGCACCTTTCATGGGACTGAGAGTGCAATTCTTGTGCAGAGGTTCAGAAGTGACAGAGATAAGCTCAGAGCCCGAAAGTGGCGAGGTTTCTGTAAACCTAGCAGGAGTATGAGCTAGTCTTTATAAAAGACGATGGTGTGAGCTGGTGTAAATCCTACTACATGCTCTGGGATAAGCCCTCAGCAGGGGTAAGAGTACTGTCATAAGGCTCACCAAAAGCATAACAACGGAGTCATAGATCCTGTCATGAATTCCCTGTTCCCTTGCAAGGCTCCCTTTATGAAGTGAGTCATTTTTTTAATTGCATAATCATTACACAGATTAGGACTGCACTTTTAGGTGTTGTAGTCTTATAATAATTAAAAACAAAATTGTCTTTCAACTTTTAGAACATATATGCAAAAGTTTAGATTTGTTGTTAGCAAAAGCATTTATTTTAGCCTAATTATCCTACTGTATTACTGTTGATGAAATACAATGCTTGTTTCAATTTCCTTAGCTTGAAGATTAATGTTAAATAATTAATTTTGTAAACTGAACTGGATTTGATATTCCGAGCTTGGATCCTCCAGATTGCTGCTCTTTCTTCACATTTCATGTTGTATCTCATTGGTCTCGGTGGTGTTCTCTCTGTTTTGTTAATTATGTTTTGTTTGTTTTAACACGCCACTCTGCAGTGTGGTATGTGAGTATGTGGGTGTGTATCAGAGCTTTACCCGGTATACATATTAAAATACAGTTTTGCTACATCTTGCCAAAGCGTTCTCTTCCTGAAACAGCCTGAGTTCTCGAGCCCTTTGCCCAGTCTGCAGGCAGTTTTGCTGGTGTGAGTGGGGATGGGCTTGGCAAAAGCAGGAGGTGAAAGTTGTGGGATCAAATTCAGCTGCTCATCCTCTGCAGGTGTGAAACTGCCAGTCAGAAAGTTTGTCTCCATCAGACTGCCTTTGCAAAGGAGTTGCTGGACTGGAGTACAGCTACTTGGGCAGTGCCTCTAATACACAGATTGTTCCTGAGAGCCGCAAGCAAAGAGGGCTCCTCCTCCTCATGCCAGCGTCACTTTATCCAGGTAAAACACCCACCTGGGCTGCTAGACACTATTTAACTATCTGTTAAGATGTGGTAGCAGGGCAAGAGGATGATCTGGATAGAGTGCAGTTCTACCCCAGTACCTGAGAGACCCGTGTATGATCCCTCTGCTCTCCTAAGCCCTTCTGGTGTGACCTTGGTCAAATCATGCAGGTTGCTTTGAGCCGCAGGGGAATGGGAGCAGCAGAAGCACACACAAAGCAGTGTGACAGCAAGACTTGCAAAGTGGCAGGACCTTCAATGCCTTGGGAAAAGGGTACCACGAGGAAGCCAGCTACCAGGGCATAGCTGTCAGGGGCATCACGACTGGGGTGGATTTGTAACTGGGAGCTGCCAGCAGTGTCATCCCTCCTGCTTCCCTCAGGCTGCTTCTTTTCAACCCATGACTCTGTCCCTACAGATGTACTGATACCACTGGTTGTGCAGCAGTGCTGCAAGCAGGGTCCAGACTGAGATAGAAATACTCTTTCTTATTAGTTGAGAATCTGATTGATGAGTCGCCTGCCCTGTGATTGTGTGGCATGAGTGTGGGGACTGTGCTGTGTAGCATGGCTCTGTCTCCAAGGGTGGAAGTGCCATAATGCGGCAGTGCCGCCAAGGCTGACATATCTTTGAATGACGGCTTCAGGCTCCGTTGCAAAGCTACAGAAAGAAATGAAAGTTCTAATCTGTGTTACATATGTTCAAAGTTTATAAACCTTTTCTACTTACAGCAATAGTAAAAGTGGAACGGTAACGCTTTCTCCCAATTTTGTCTATCTTGCCTGTTCAGAATATTAGCCCTCAAGGCAGAGTTTGTGCACAGGCTACTTATGTCTCTTTGATCTTATTAATGCTATTTTACTTCCGTGGTAGTGCAAATAATGAATCCGCATGATAAATTAATGAGTTGGAGATGTTTTAGATAATGCAGTATTACCGAGATAAACATAGACTCTTCTACTGTTTGAGTAACAAACGAGTGGAAATCAATAGTAGTTATGGAACTGTAAGCTCCCATTTTGCTATTCATTGATCCAAAAGTGGATCTTTGCCTTCGACATACAGAAACTGTAAGGAATGTAGGAAAAGGGAGCACAGCGTCCAGCAGGGATCCGTTCGGGTGTAGGGGCAGCACGTGGGGACTCCTGCACCCAGCTGCTGCCGGGGCTGCCCCACACTTCCCAAGAAGTCAAAGTACCTTTGGGCCAAAAACGGGGTCTGTGGGCTCAGGGTGGGCTCAGAGCCCTGCAGAGGGACACAGGCGGAAAGGGAGAGAGCGAGCGTGTGTGCAGGGGCTGTGGGGGAGACTTTCGTCCAAAAGTCATTGTAAAGCCAAAGCGGGGTTTATCCTCCACAGCTAAACCAAAACGAAAAGAACAAAACAAAACAAAAAACCCCCTCCAGAATAGCAACATTCGAGATACAAAGACTGTCATGGACCAGTGCAAGTTTGCAAAATTATATGTAAATGACCACAGTTTTGACCGTGGTGGCCCTCTGCTAATCCTAGAGAGAAAATCTACTTAGCAAAGGAAAGTTTTTGTCTAATTTGGTTAACAGTGACCAAAATGCTGAATATATTAATAATTTATATTTCCAAGGAAACACTGTATCTGTAATGCTTCAGTGCCGAAGGGGATTCACAATAGCTTAAAGCTCACAGAATAAAAATAGTGTAGGATTTTCTTCATATTCTGCATCCAGCGCTGGTGAAAATGAGTGTAAGACATGTGTTTTCATAATAGGCGCCAGCCATTCTTCTGCTGCTGACTGAATACGTTGGTTTATCCCATATTGCTCTGTGTACACTGAGGACGAGATAGGGTCCCGCTGGCTTTGCCCGGATTTAAGATCCTAAAGGTGTCCTGAGGAAATGGCGCTTTCCCCGCTCTCTGCCTGCCTCATTATTACGTTATCCTGTCATATGACCTTTTTTCTTCTAATCTGAAATAGCAGGGCTTTTCTGTATTTACAGTTTAAATGGAAGATACACAATATACGTTTTACTCATTGTAATGAAGATCTTTTTTGTCTGTCTCTGGATAAAGGATCGGGTGGTTTACAAATTGTGGGTCAGCCCATTCCGTGACCTGGGCAAACAGCCCGGGTCAGACCTCCTCAAAGCCTCCCGAGCGAAATGGAATAAGTTAATTTACCCGTCAGCAGCTCCGGGACGGCGGGGCAAAGCCCAAACCCCCCTGGGCCTGTCCCCCCGCCAGCCCCG